ATATATATATATATATATATATATATATATATATATATATATATATATGCCAATATTCACAAAAAGGTGTCTCTCACTCTACATATATATACACATATGTATACATGTATATGCATGCATATATATATATGTATATATACACACATGATAGCTCAACAAAGTCAGGCATTTTATTTTTAATTGATTTGAGACAGAAGAGGGGGTGAGAGAGACATTGATTTGTTGTTCCACTAACATATGCATTCCTTGGTTGATTCTTGTATGTGCCCTGACTAAGGATTGAACCCACAACCTTAGTGTATTGAGATGATGCTCTAACCAACTGAGCTACCCGGCCAGGCCCCCAAATCAGGCATTTTAGACATGGTTGCTCTCTTCAGTGGGGTTGTTGAACACAAGAAAGTGAGAGATTTACCGCCTCACCCAGGCCACAAATTATAGGCCACCAAGTACTGGGAAAACACTGTCACCTAAAAGTGTCCCCTATAGACATCAGTAGCTAGAAGTACTATTGCAGCTGTCTAATTATACCCACGGACTCAACTGGCACAGAATGGCTGGTTCCTTCACACAAACCTGAAAGGAGCTCTGCAGAGAACCATCTTCTCTGTGCAATGCCCCCCTCCCCAACACCAGAGGCCTTAGTCAACAGCACCAATGCTTACTCACTGCTCAGGTCAAAACGGAGCAGCCACCCCTGATTCTTCCCTTGTATTCCACATGCAGCCCGCCCATAAGCCCCAGAGCTCTGACGACAATAAGTAGCTCTGAACTGACCATTTCACCCTCATGTGACCACCCCAGTCTACGCCCACTCACAGGTCCCCATCACCACCACACTCCTCGTCACGCTGGTCCTTGCTCTCCACAGCAGCCAAGTGAATTTTTCTAATTACATCCACCCACATCCCTTCACTGCATGGAGCACTCAGTGACCTCTCTGTACAACATGAGTAAACTCCAAACTCCTCGCACTGGCCTATGAAGCCCCCTGACCAGCCTCTGCCTCCTCTCCCAGCTCATCTCCCTCTCCTGGGCACAGCACCCCAACCCACCGCGCGGTTTCTGTCCCACATGCTGAGCTCAGCCCCAGTGGCCGCTTCCTTCCCCACATTCAGACAGCAGTTCCGATTTCATCCTCAGGATCATCTCTCCTGACCGATTCAGGTCCATCTCCAACCCTTGACCCTCGTGCTTCCTTCGAGGTTAGACTTTCACTATCTGTCTCCTTCCACTAAAGCGGAAGCCCTTCAGGGACAGAGGCCTGTTTGTTCTCTGCTCTGCCCTCAGGGACTAGGAGGGTTCCTGGCACAAAGTCCGCACGAGTAAATATTTGCTGACTGACTGAGTGCCCAGAGAAAGGGTTGTCTTTTCCAAGTACCAGATGCTCAGTGTTCTCCTGAGTTAGCACACCTGGACAGAAAGCACTGCAGTTGGGAAAACAAACTTGGAAAGGAATATTTCAGACCCCTGTGAGATAAGATCTGCATCGCAGAGTAAAGAAATGACTCGCCCTGGGCAGACACCAGAGGCAAGTTCGTCTTTCATTCTCATTGGATTAAGATCTAAAAGTCTGATTTCAACAGCCTGAGATCTTCAAACGAAACCTGAGGAGTTATTTCCCCTCCCCTATCGATTGATAAACAGAAACTTCTGGTCATTCTCACTGTCATGTCCACAATCTTTGATCTTTGGGATTCTGTTTGCTTCCTCTTAGTGCAGTTACAGCTCCACTCTGTGGAAAAACAGGGAAGATGGGCGATGCAACATAGGTACGTACCTACGTGACCCCAGAGCAAACCTGGGCAACTATGAGGAGAGACCAGTGTGTAAAAGCATGCACACAACATCAAAATGAAGTGCATTTTATTCTTGTTTAGATTAGATGTGGTAACCTCTAGAAATTAAATATGAATCACGGGTCTATTGGTGTTTGATGATTTACTTGCTCTGTTTCCCACCTTTTATTTCCATAGCAGGCTTGAAATTTGAAGAGAAAATTGCTTGCAGTTTTCTCTCTGAAGTAATGCATCTCTGTCAGTAGACACTGTGACATGTGAAAAATCACAAATACAAAACACGAAGTTTATTCTGGTCAGAAGGAGAAATGAGACGATTAAGAACCAATGATGCCCACTGTCTGGATGCACAGGGATGCAGCCATGGAAACCAGCAGGTGCAGCCCTGCCTGCTGTTAAAATGAAAACAACATTATTCACTCACTTGTGTCCCTTGACCCTCGCCTCAGAGAAGGATCTTCCATGAAGCTGCCAAGAGTTATGAGCAACACAGAATCAGGACCAAATCAACACCCAGCTGGCTTAGCTTTTAGCAGATCACGTGCAGAAAAGAGTTAATGATCGCCCAGGAAAACAAAACAAAACACAGAAATATTTTAATGCTGCTTAGTATTTAAGACATTGCAATTCGGTGTCTCTAGCCATCGAAGCACAACCTGACTTCCAGAAACACAGCAACACTCAACACAAGAGCTACACCTGTCCCATCACTGTACCATCTAAAATAAAATCATTTCAGAACCAGTTTCAACACATGGCTGATGTGCATAGAATTAACCTTCCCTTCTCTAGCCTTGGTGAGTTGAATTTGAGCTTCACTATATACTGGGCTAACTCATTAGAAGGCCTTGAGCCTTAAGTGAAATTAGAACCTGGGCAAAGTTTATCTTTGGTGACTCAAGATAACACTTCATCTCCCCGCTCCACACCCCCTGCCCACCCCATGCTCCTGTCTGTCTTTAGTTCTTTCCCTATCAAAACAGCCTCTGAGGAAGAGACCTGAATTCCTCAGCACTAAAATAAACCTCTGCTAGAAGCTTCAAGGATGACCTTTCTCAAGGAGCTAAGGGAATAAATGGGACTCAAAGCTTTGAGTTGCACTGTGACAGGTAGGGAGACTGGGGAGTTCCCTGAACCCACAAAACTGTACCACACAGCAGCCGTCTGGCTTGGCGGTAAGTAGTTAAATCAATTTCAGTTTAAAATGTCAAAAACAGACCCTTCCTTAATTAGTTCATAGCTAACAAACATGCAAATCCTTCATTTATGAAATAATTACAAGAATATTTGAAGGACAGAATTCTACACAAAATGGAAAGTTTCACAGTGACTGAGCTTGGTTCAAGGATGAATCAGCGTTTGTCAGCAGTCAAAGTTAAAGGACATTTTAAGCAATAAGATCAAAATGAGCAAGGTAAGGTGGGGAGGGAGCATTAGAGTAGTAGTGTGGTTCCTAATTTACCTCTCTCTCACCTCCAGAAGATCTGACTTTAGGGATTATGAACTCTGCTTACCAGTATAGTGCTCAGTTTTAGAAAAAGATGCATACTGCGAATATCCACTGTGTGGAAAATAATGATGAGTAAGACACTGACCAACCACCAAGCAATTCACAATATCCGGGGTTTAGGTAGAAATGGTTGCATATAACTTAAGAGAATAAAGATCGACCAGGAAGAAGAGAAAATGTAGGGTGAACTGGATATAAAGTCAGGAAGCCATACAGTCCATCAACCACAAGCCACCCAGTCCGGGGTAATGGTGTGCGGGTCATTCAGTCCTGGGGGGTGGTGAAGCCAATGCTGCAGAATCCTGTTGGAGTCTGAGGCTGCTCTCTGCCCCTCCCTCATGCTTCCCGTTTGTTGAATAAGCCCAGCTCCCAGAATCAATTACCCCAGGTTAGGACAGAGACTCGGGGTTCTGCATTTTCCACATCTACTCACTCATCCCGGAAGAATTCCTGATCAGGGGAGAATTCACCCACAGCTTATCTCATGTGGGGGAGTTCTCAGTGAAAAGGGTCACCACTTCCTGGTTTGCTGTAACCACAAAACCCACTCATTTTAAAAAAGAGGGAACCTCAACATCCTGCTGATCCCTCAAAACCTTGCTTCTGCTGCTAAGGGTGGCATGTCCCTGTCCTAGGACGCGTCACCTCTCGGCCTCATCTCCTTGCTGCGGGACTGCATGTACAGGTCATCCATAATGAAACTCAGGAAATCCCCAGTCTGAGTAACTGTTCTCTGTGCGGCTGCCAGACACTGTCTCTGCCGACCCCAGTCTTCACTCAGCCGACAGTACCCAGGCCGTTTGAGTAAGGGCAGGGTTGTGAGGCTGCAAATGTCAACAAATGCCCCTCCACCTGGGACTAGGACAGCCTCCCGGGTCCTCTGTGCTAAGAGTCTGAGGCAGCAAGGAAGCCTCTGACCCTTTGGCCAGACATCCAGCTCATTGCTCTGCACAATTATGAATTGGTAAATATTTTCTTAAGGCTGAACATTTTTAACCTTAAGTTTAAGTGAATGCTCTCCAAAGCTTCAGGTGCTGGGTCAACAGCACTTCCGCTTTAGTGAAAAAGTCTCATCCCTTTTCTTTCAACTTGCAAAGTAGTCTGGGCCATATTTGAATTCCTTGCCACTTTTTTTTCTGTTTTCTTTTCTTGAGTGTAGAAGGGCCATGTTAAGAGGGTCTTTCCTCTTGAGAAAGGATCTCAAGTCCAATCACATGCCTTCAGATTCCTACCTAATGGTCTGAGCCTTCAAGGTAAAATGAATGCACTGACGGGGATAAAAGCAATCTCAGTAAACACTGTGATTTCTATTATGTGGGAAAAATGTGAATAGAGTCGCAGAAGCACAGGCTCAAGAAGACCTCAGAGACCATCTCATCTAATCTCTCATTTTATGATTCAGGAATTGCATTCTCATTCACTCATTCAATACTGGGCAGGATTGATCCCAGGCCAGCATTTATCCCCGTGATTGTCAAAGTGTGGTCCCAGGACCAGCAGCAGCAGCAATAGCTGGGATCTTCTAAAAACAAAGTTCTTGAGCCCCATCACAGACTGTGGGGGTGGGGCCCAGCAATCTGTGTTGTCTTCCAGGTTGTTCTAATGCATGCGGAAGTTTGAAAACCATTTCCCTGTACCTGATAAGAGGAATGTATGAGTCAGGGCTATTTATTTTAACTGGATTAAACACAAAAGGGAATTTGTTGGTCCGTGCAACTGGAAAGGTCCGGGAATAATACTTCCTCCAGAATAATCTGTGAAAAACACCACGTTTTGCTTTTCTTCAATGGCTACAAATTTCCTTCTCTGGCCCAGCTGGTGTGGCTCAGTGGTTGGGCATCAATCTATGAACCAGGAGGTCACAGTTCGATTCCTGGTCAGGGCATATGCGTAGGTTGCGGGCTCAATCCCCAGTGGGGGGTGCACAGGAGGCAGCCAGTCAATAATTCTCTCTCATCGTTGATGTTTCTATCTGTAGGTTGTGGGCTCGATCCCCAGTGGGGGGTTGCACAGGAGGCAGCCGGTCAATAATTCTCTCTCATCGTTGATGTTTCTATCTCTCTCTCCCTCTCACTTCCTCTCTGAAATCAATAAAAAATATATTTTAAAAAAAAATTCCCTTCCTGTCAACTACAGAGTCCTCTGTTGGAGTCCAGACAGTGGTCCCAAACCACCTGTCTCACCTGCCTTCCACTTCAACAGGCACCTCAGCTGGTCTTTGTGGTCTCCTCCCATTGGCACAGACCATTCCGTGCCAGTCCCCATTCTCACTGCGTCCATCAAGTTCCCCTCGATTGAAACACTTCCATTCCCTCAGCCGATCAAAAACCCTGCCCAGACTTGCAGAACAAGCTCAAGTTTGGCCACTTCCATGAAAACTCCTCTACCTCCTCCAAGCCTCTTGTAAACTTTCTTGTGAACTCACACAGCGCCCAGTGTCTGACCCATACAAGACAGCCCTTAAGCACATTTCTAAGTCAGAGACCATTTTGTTGTAAGAGAAACCCCCTGTGCTCATTTAAATAAACGGAGAGCTGTAAGGATTCCGAGGGATTTCATGTAACCCAACTGCAGCATGATTAGCTAAACTGCAACAGGTTTGAAAGGTCACCAGTATTAAGACAGAACATTTGTTTTTCATGTTTCAATGGAGACGGACATACCCTGGCCTCTCCTACTATGCCTCAATCCATTTTGATTAATTATCTTATTAGTGAATTTGGAAGAAGAAAATTCACCAATTTCCTTCTGTGGGGAGCATTCAAGGGCAGGTGCCCAGGGCAGGGATGAGCAGGGATGGGCAACTCTGCAGTTTTCTGATTCTGCCTTTGTCTAGGGGGGTATTTCAGGAGTGAAGGGGGGCCCCTTGTCACTGCAGGGCTGAAGTTTTCTTCCAAATAGTTGACTCAGCAATAAAGCTGACACTTTTCGCTCCATCTGCCTGACTTATTTATCTGTCCCTCAGTTCCAACTCAGGAGAGAAAGAGGGAGTATTATCATTAGTCACCCTGAAATTTAAATAATTGGCAGCTAGTCTCGCTTTCTCTGTCTGAAGCTGCATATTTATCATCCCTGCTGTAAAGCCACTCCAAGTCTTCTCACTCGGAAAACTAACTTCTTTTTAATTTGGGCTTCTGCCTCCCCATTAACTTGGGCATTTATGTGGAACTGGGTGTTACCGTTAGTTACAGAAACTGCTAATTTTCCCCAAAATTTATTTCCCTCTTCTTTTTTCGTAACAGAACACCCAAATCTTAGTTGGGTACATGGAAGCCCAGAAGAAAATAGATATTTCCCAAGTAGATGTAGTCATGTGATTAAGTTCTGTCCAATGGGATTTAAGTGGCTGTGCATGGCTTTTAGAAGATATCCTAAAAGGGGAGGAGTTTGTGTCCTCTTTCGATTTCTTCCTATTAGCTGGAATGTAGTTGTAATGTCTGGAGCTGAGGCAGCCATTTGGGATCATGAGGGCGCAGCAGTGGTCTGCTAGATAGAGCAGGCTCATAACGGCAGGAGAGCAGATTGTCAAACATTCAGGAATTTTGCATGCTGCTTATAAACCATCGGTAGCTTGAAGTTGGCCATAGTAGGAATGTTTCCAACATAGGAATCAGGCAAATGCTACAAACAAACCCAGAGTCAGTTTACCAGCATACCACTGGATAGAGCACATGGTGAAGCTGGCAGAGCAGTAAGACATCGGGGCCGCAGACCCTGATGGCCATGAGACAGCTTGCCATG